CCCAATGGACCTTGTGGAAATAAATGGATTAGTCCATCAAATTGCTCATCAAAATTTAGCTGTGTATACCAAATTTCATTCATTTATCACAACGCGATTGAGAGATATTGCAAAAAAATGATTTCCATTCCTCCCTCTTCAATGGGTCCCTGTGCCCTTAGGAAGCATTTCCGGACCCATATTCATATGAACTTTTTTACTTAGTTTTGATCATAGAATCGGCCTGTTCAGGGTTGGCAGCTAATTATGAGACACCCTGTATATAAGAACCTACAGATATTTCAGTTGGGTGTTGGGTAGATGAAAAAATTTCCATTTCGTCATCCTCTTTCTTCGGTACGACCAGGCAAGCCTGTGTTTCCAAGTAAAAGTGCTCTTGCCCTCCAATTCTGCATTCCCCTTCAACGACGTGTGGTGCCTCCTGTAACACTTTTTCGATATCGCCTCTTTGTAATACCTTGTGATGGTCCCCAAAGAAAGATTTATGTTCGAGAGCATCCTCTATAGTAATCACGACAGGTTCCAACTCTTGGTACTGAATTTTAACCTTCCTTGCCGCTTTTTGTGCGATACTTTGATTGTCGGCCACTATTAAAGCAACGATTTGACCCTGGGAGGTAACCTTGTCTGAGTAAAAAACTTTTTCATCGTGCACTACGGTACCCCACATATTATGGGGTACATCCTTGGAATAAACAAATCCGTGGACTCCTTCCATAGCCAAAGCTGCCGATTCGTCAATTTTTAATATATTTGCATGAGGTTTTGTACTCAGCACGAACGCGCAATAGAGTTCGCCTTCTTGTCGAGGAATGTCGTCGCAGTAAACTGCCTCTCCAGTAGCCTGTTTATAGGCAGATCTGTGCACCATGGGCCTTTGCAAACCATCAGTCTTTTTTTGGGTACTTGGCACTACCGTGAAGTATTGGGAGCTTTTCAGCTCTTTACAATGAAATCCGTCGATGCCGCTTAAATCTCTCTGATCCAGTTTCACATCAGTCACGTATTCTTCGAGTCTTTGGGATATAGCAAGGAATGCTTTGAAAAACAGGCTGAGCGTCAAAGATCTTCTGTATTGGATCATACCTCCAGGTGCTCCTGGATGAAGTGGTAAATCCCCTAATAGGCAAGCATACGCAATTTCTAAAGTTTCTTTATTCCAAGGCAAACCTCTCAGTTTCTCTTCAGTTTTTGGAGCTGTCACTGTTTTAAAAGACATTCCTCCGAACGCGAGACTAATATCGGCAATGATATGAGATTTTGGTTGAAATGTTACATTAACAGCAGTGTTAACTATTGCTATATCATCCTCTCGCCTTCGAGCTTGTTTGTACGCCTGGAAATATTGGTCTGGTTTCGAGAATGGTATGTTAATATAGAGCAAAACTTCATTTGGTTCTACCACACTCTTCCGATAGCCCACGAAGAAATTACCATCTAAGGTTATCCTCCTTATGCCGCGGTCTTTGCTTTGTACTTCTAACTCGGCTTTGGCAGCCATTAGAAGGGGAATCATGTCAGATATAGGACTTCCCGTCATAATGTTGCTTCCTAAAGCCCCCACACTACGTATTTGAAGTCCAGCAAACCAATTTAACATTTCCACTGTCGCTTGGAATATCCTGGTTTTATGTTCGGGCTCATTTTTAATTTGAACCTTGAGATATCTCTCTACGTCTGCTAATGTAGCGGATGCGCCTATCTTAACACCGGAATGCGTCTGGGTAATACTAACGAGTTCTGGTATTTGAACCGGCTGAATTATGACGGGGTAAGTCATGTGTTTGAACTTCATCTCTACGCCTACTTCTGTGTTGCCCACGACTAACTTAGCATCTGGGTATTTCTTTTTCAGATCCAGCAGTTCCTTTAGCCTTGTGGGGCGGTACCAAGTCATATCCTTACTTTTGAACACCAAGCTTTGTGTGTCGTACTTCTCTATTAGCCTTAGCTCTGGTGGAAAAATAGGCTCTTGAGAAGGGTGATAAGGAGTAAATTCGCTAGTTTTAAACAATTTTTCTTCCTCTTCACTATCATCAGTTCCGTTTTTCTTAATCTCGCCGTTTTGGAATTTACAGCATTTGTCCCCCATACCACAATCTCCGTTGGACAACTGATTTCCAGATTGTATTCGTTCCCATTCTTCCGTGAATGTCCTAAATCCCTCGATGATTGGCCTATAGCCCGTACATCGACACAGGTTGCCTTGGAAAGCTACCTCCATTTCCTTCATGGTGGGTTTTGGAGAGCTTCTCAACAGGGTATACATAGACATAACAATTCCTGGTGTGCAGAAGCCACATTGGGACCCGTGAGCTTTTGCGATTCGTTCCTGGACTGGATGTAACCTGGTTTTCGTGGAACCTATTCCTTCTACTGTTGTTACTGCTAGACCGTGCATTGAGCATATCGGGGCTAGGCACGCGTTGACCGGTAGATGACTGAATATGTTCAGGAAATTGGTATTTAAACTTTTTAACATTTAAAAATATGGTTAAAAAAATTAAATATAGCTAGAGTCCATTAGAGCTAAATTCTCAAAGGATACATTACTTTAACCTGGTTTCTGTCAAATTTCGAGACCATGACAGTGCAAGCCCCACATCCTCCTTCTCCACATCCCAATTTGGTACCACATAACCTTACTATTGACAGTTTAAGGAAAAATTCGCGGATTAGTATTACCTACAACTATTTATATGAGATAACTTTCTCATTTACCAAAAAAAGCAATTTTGTAAAGTAGAATAACTGGTTGGTTCGTTCGTTGGTCCACTACATTTGCTAATGTACACTTGAACGAACAATAGGATGGAAGTATATGTACAAAAATGTTAATAACAATTGAATAGCTTATATTGTCTATCGTGATTTTAGTTGCTCAACAAAAAATATATTTTACAAACTGAATCATAAATAATTATTTTTGAAATTATAAATTATTTTTTTACTTGCATACAGGGGTTGTTTTGACTGTGTGTGATTCGTATTCGGCACCCCAAAATTAAAATAAAAATACTGGTTTCATACTTTTGCTTTGATGGTCCAAAATTGCTTGTTTTTGTACTTTTGATCACTGATATTATTTTTCTGTAGCTCTTAAACAATAAATGAAGCTGTTGGTTTGATTTGTGAATTTCAGAACAAATTCTACAAACTTTTTGTCCATGAGTATAATTTTTGGTGATCAGGAACACGAATAATTTTATTTGAAATAGGAAGCGCGGAAAATGATAGCCATACCGGAGATCTGCAGGTAAAAATGACGTTGGCAAGTTTTGTTCTATCTTTTGTTGGCGGAAATTTTGAGAAAATGCAGGTGTACTAGGTTTTCTTGTAACAATGGTATTCTTGTCACATGTCGACAAAAAGTGTACCTATTGATAAATATTTATTTCGGTTTTCTGCCGCAGCCGTTGGAATTTTACTATGTTCATAAAATAAACAATCAAGTTTTTTTTAATAAGCTGAAAATTTTTTAACAAAAGGTGATGTAAAAAAACATGATATTTGGACCATCTAGTATGTAAAGCTAAATTTCATTAATATCGCTATTCGCCATTAAAATATACTCAAGGTTTTCTTAGAAAACGTTAATCTGGGAATATAATAAACACCATTTTGTATTACGATTGTGTGTCCTATTTTTTATTATATTAAATATTTTTAAATTTTATTATATTTTGTTAAACTTTTATGTGTATTTTTCTGGTTTATTCGTTACCTACTACAGTTATTTTGGAAATTCGAATACTTAAGCTTGGGTTTCAAAAATATGTATAATTAATATAAATTTTTAATAAACTTTGAAAAAGGATACATTTGTTTCTAAGATATTGCAATAGAGTGCATTCAGGATCTACATTGTCGTCCTCTATCTGAAAAGTATGATTAATAACAGCCTTCACAAATATAAACCATACAGTTTGGTCATTATTGAAACAATGCCTCATTTAATAGTACTTATACTATGTAGATAATAATAATACAAATTACTATGCCCTCTTCACATATCGGAATAACAACCTTATTGCATTAACAAGAAAATTTTGTAACAATTTTGCAAGACCATTTACAATATATCAAGCTTTATTTTGCAATATCGGGCAAAGGGGACAATGAAACTTAAAAATTTTGGATGCAGATAATCTAAAATATGAAAAAAATATTGATAAGAGGTCGTGAACTATAGACCCCCATTGAATTACAATGACGAAATTAACAACAAATTAATTTGGAGTTAATAATACGTAATCATAAATTGTACCTATATACAACAAAATAAATGACGCGTAAATGAAATGATTTTTAAGTACATTTTTATCTTATCTCTGAATTATATTATTTAAAAAGTTATCCGATCAAAACATTTGTTTATAATCTCTTGTAAATTTCTTAACTAAATACTCAAATGCAAGAAATATTCTATATTTAAAAAGCTTCTTGGATGTTGAAAAAATACACTCATGTATATTATTTATAAACTCACCTTTTTTCCATTGACAAAAAACACCAAGACTGAGTTCATATCACTTTTAAAATCTGATGATTTTACCATTATCACTTGAAATTTATTTTATCGGTCTTGCTCATTAGAAGGTTCAGCAAGAACTGGACCGATGTAAAATAAAACTAATCTCTAGGTTGTTTACAATATTATATATATCATGTAATATGTCGAAATAATGAAAGAAAATAAAGTAAACAACTCTTAACTATATATTACATATATTTAATAAGTATAATATATATCTATCAAACCTCTACAGGTTTAGACCCTAATCTATCATCGAGGATCTGTTCTTCTGTAGTACCTTCGAGAATAGCACGTCTTTGTAACATCGACTGCATTCTCATCATTTCAAATTTCCTCTTTGAATATGTGTATCTGCACTGTATCCAATAAGCCATAGTGATGAAAGAGAAGGAGTACACTGCAAAGTTAGTCGATTTAAGTGGCTGACTAGTAATCATAAATCGGGCCAAGCCGAAGAATAATCCTCCACCTATTCCACAAAGTAAACTGTTTCGGAAACATGGAATTTTTGAGATGTCCCGCCCAAATATTATAAGTGACTAAAACACCAAAAGATGTCGCTAGTTATTAACGGCATTTTATGTATTTATGTATGTAATATGCAACCAACATAACAATCATAATATACACAGGTTGCGGATTATCTACGCTATTAAAGTTCTTGGAGTACAAAAATAAGGTATCTCTGTTACAAATTTATTATGGAATTTACTAAATATTACTCACCTTGTCCTGATCCTGTGAATCATCAATTTCCGTTGACATTTTAATTAAATCATAAAATCAACAATTACGTTTTTGATTCAGACAGAATGGTCACGAGCTGTTAGGTTAGAATGAGACGAATTTATTAATTTCGTGTTATTTTGATAGATGACAGCGCTATCAACTAGGTATTTGTATTAAAAGAAAGATTTCAGTGAAACTTTAATATCAATATTTGTACCTGCAATTACTTGATTAGTGACATAAATATGATTGATAAAGTTGATCAAATGGAATTGTTTTTAATTAGTTAAATATATTTATTTATGACTACTCTGCGTGTCCTGACATCTACCAAGGAATTCTTCAAGTTTCATGTTAACCCTATAACCCACATTTTGTTGTGATTGGTATTCGCGGTCGCGCTAGTGTAGTAGTTGTGTGACGTTTGTCCAAGAAATAATTTTCCCGTTATGTTTATAATATTTTGTATATTATCGATGTTTTAGTGAATTAATTTCCTTATATTTGTTCTAATTATGTTCCATTAAACCCAGTATTGTTTTCGGTAAGCAATTCTTAAATTACTAGTTAACCTATAAAAGGTGGAAGGCGCGGTTTGTGATAGAAAATACGCATAATATACTGCAATGCTAGAGTGGTAGAGTTAATAATTCTATTGGGGATTAATTTTAATAGTATTTAGAGGATTAAATTTCTCACAAAAACGAATACTCGTGAACGACTGCAGTATAATATGATGCCTTTACATATAAAGTTAATTATAAACGCAGCAGAATTAGTATTGTGCTAGATATTTAGCATAGCTGAGATTCTGTTATGTTGCATTAGAAAACTGGTAGGTTCTAAATATACAGATATGTAGTATATATGTTTGAACACTGTTGTGAAATGAAAATATTAAAAGCGTGAGTAAATTCAAATTAATTATGTGAGGTAATAACTTCTTCCTATCTAAATATATACGTAATAATTAAGATCTCTCTTATATTAATTAGGAGATAAGATTAATATTCGTTTCTCATTTTTATTATTTCATAAATATGTAAAGCGATTAAAGAATACTTTGCAGAACTCTAAATGAATTTGCTTCCAGAAATTAAAAAAATTTACAAATATTGTTCTCTATGAACATAAAAAACATTAGGTATTTTATTATCTTTTAATACTGACTTCACATATAATTTAATATGTAATTAATCATTAAATAAATAACTTGAGTTTTAAGCGTATGTCATAAATTTGTCAATAATCATCTGCGTTTTAATGTTTCGTTATCATTATGAGAATAATTTCTGAGAAATGTACCTAATTTAGAGAACAAAAAATATTTGGATACCTATACATATGTTTAAACCAATATAATATAGATTGAAATAAATTTAAGAATTAAATATTAATTTAAGTACCTAAATCTCTGTATTTGTTATTTGTTACCACAAAAGAAACATAATTAATTGTTAACTATTCAGAAAATTATTGTGGTCACGCCTTGTATAGAGCTGCCGTATATGTAATTAAAATGCCTTACATAAACCAAGTCATTTATCATTTAAATCATACCCTGTATGTTCCAAATATATGCAAGCATGTACAACACACCTTAAATACACTATAGTAGCTTTTAATTAAGCAACATTTTATTAAGGTTGAATTATAAAAACAGGTTTCATATGAGAATAGCAACTATTTCAAGTGCCAGTATAATATGTATATAACACCCATACATTTCTAAGTAATATTTTCACTTGTGCAATGAAAAATTGGGTGGGTAATATATGTATATATAAATCTTTCTCAAACATGTTTTAGATATTTTTGGAAATTGAATTTTGATCACATAAAGCTTCATTTTAATTCTAATTTAATTAATATATTTTTTTATATAAGCAATATTTTCAAGAGTGCTTTTATTTATTTGTAAATATAGTTATTAATTAATAGGTTATATAATGATAGTATTTCCATCTTCCAATTTGTAATAATTGCTCATCAGTGTAAATTAGTATTAACTTCAGTTTTAGTCGTATGGGTTCAACACTGGAACACCAGATGATATGTTAATAACTAAAAATTATAAATTCACATAGTCGCCAGTGAAACTTGTACCTGTTTTAGCCAAATCATTTATGGAGAAAATAGACTTTCTCTTTGATAAAGGATTACCTATTTTTTAGCACATCTGTTGCTATTGAATTTTTTAAAAAGTATTGATGAAGTACAAGACACAGCATAACATTTTTGATGAAAAGTGGATAAAAATAATCCAGTCTAAATTTGAAACGAGCCAAGTTTATTACTTCCTCATTTCTGAATTGTTTCCTGTCTTCAAGTTAACGCTATTAAGGATTGTATGGCTTGTTCTAAATTTACACTTTCATCAGTTTTATTAAACTTTAAAAATAGCAGGCACATTTTGCTTATTGCTTGTAAATACTTGATAGAGGGCCACAAGGAACAATATTTAAATTAAAAAGTATTGTTTAACTCTTAAAAGGTGAAAATTATTGTATTTAAATTTCTCCACCATTTATCGTTATTTTTTAACATGATTTGTGGTGTGACTTGAATACGGGACTTTACTTCAAATTTATAGAAAGAGAAGAAATTCCATTGTGTTTCTATTGTTGCTGTTTTTTAACAATGTTTATATTTTTCCAGGCTGCAAAAATGATGGATCAATTCGCATTAGACCCCTACGAGCAGCAGCTCTTGAAAGTGTTCGACAGCCACGACAGGGACAACTGCGGTAGCCTAGACAGAGAAGGCCTAACCCAGCTCTGCCAAACCCTGCAACTGGAAGAGCAAGGCAGCGAACTCATAAAATGTCTCCTCAAAGACAAACACTCCCGCGCCACATTTACAGAGTTCAGAGATGCGCTCTTGGCTTTGTTGGGTAATATGCAAAATAATAAGAACACGAAGAACGAGGAAATTATTGCGGAAGAGGAAAAAACGTCACCGGAACGCGAGGTCTCTCCGAAATTCGTGTACGGGTCGAAGAAGTATGGCCGTAGGTCACGACCGAGAAACGACGAAATTACTCCGATTTATAACGAACAAAACGACATTAGTTTAAGTAAATCTCCGAACAGTGTGTCAGTGCAGAGGTCTAACTCTCAAACCGAGGTATCTTCGAAGAAGAGGAAGCCGAATTATAAGCTAAAGCGATGTACTTCTTTACCCGGAAAAAACGATTTGTTATTTAATAACAGTTTGTTAGACAATACTTTTGTAACGTCTCATACGTTGTCCTCGGAACCTGAACTAGTCTGTACCGAAGATATGCTGAGGGAGGCTTGGAAAAAGTTAGGAGTGGGGGAAGACGGCTACCTCAACCAAACCGAACTTATTTTAGTTTGTGATGCTATTGGATTGCACAAACTAGCCGATGGAGTAATCCGACAACTGTCTGATAAACTGTCTTTGAACTACGACCACAAAATCAGCTTTCAGGAGTTGTTGGAGACCCTACAACAAGACGAGACTTGGTACGACGTCTTAAACCAAACCCCATTGAATAATGAGTCTGTAGTGCACCGGTCGTCGGATAACTTGTTTCCGGATTCCCGTACATTTCAATTTGTCACCTTAGGACCGGACGGCAACGGAATTATAAATACCGATGTCCTCATAGAGATGTGGGAGAGCATCGGGATACACTCGCCGAAAGAATTAATACACGATTTAGGTTTCAATGTGAGACGGATTAGCATCGTGGAACTGGCGAACGTTTTGGACAAACAAATCAAGGGTATGAATGAAGCGACCAGATCGGAATACCAAAGCCCCCACATCACTTTATTACAAGCGAATCTAACGCTGTACCAGGCAGAAATAAAATGTTTGAAGAATGTTCTGGAGCAGATGCATGCGGAACGTGAAAAATTAAAGTGTGATGTCTTCGAAGCAAACAATAGAGCGACTCTTTTAGCTCAAGAAGTGGACGACAATCATTTGCGGATGGAACAGAACACTCTGAACCAAGTCAAGTTGTTAGAGCAACGGCATACCGATATATTGAGGGACGTCACAGCACAATACTCTAAGGATAAAGAACAGTTATCGGCGATAAACCAGTCCTTGGAGAACCGGATATCTAGTCTGGAACAGGAAACGACCAAACTGAAAAACGATTTGCTAGTGGCTCAAAAGTACTCGATAAACGTCGAGAAAGAAAACCAAACATTATCGAGCAAGATAAGCGATCTCCAAAAAGACAGAGAACTCCTAAACGAGCAGATAACCGTCCTGGAAAGTGAAAAGCAGAAGTTCAGTGATAGGGAACGAGAGGAGAGTGAGATCCTCCTTGTAAAACTAACCGAGCTGCAGCTGGAGAACTCCCAGTTGAAGGACAAGAACGACGAGATGGTCTCGGAAATCGAAAGTCTCTCTAATCAGGTGGCCATTATGCGGACGAAAACGTCCAGTACGCCCACGCCCAGCTTCAACACTCTGGATCAGTCGATGGACGAAAACATTTCGATAATTTGTGAAGGTGTCGGTGTGGGTGCGAAGCGGAGGAGTGACTATTCGCCCAGCAAGGACGTCAATCTTTTCAGCATAGGTGAGTAGCGTTTGTATTTGCATAATTTATTTGATTTGTATGCTTAATCGGCTGACAGGATTCAGTTTCTCAATAACGGGTGGTCTTTGTACAAGGTGTCCCGGAAAAGATTGGAAAAATTGAAATGGCAGAGTCCTTATTCAATTTTATACCACTTTATCATAAAAATTATTGCCCCTTTCAGGGGTACTTTTTCCACTTTCAAAAGATTGGACTTTATCGTAGACTTTGTACTAATAAAACACCGCTATATTTGCATATTTCTAAATTTTTTTGGTGCTGATGTACAAGGAGTGGTACAAGGTACAACATTCGTGTATTTTCTTCAGTTTTTTTTTATTTCAAAGAAATTGAAAAAAAAAATTTGTTTTCAAATTTTTCGATATCTACCTTGTGAGTTGAAAATTCAACTTTTAATGTTTCAAGCATTTTTTGACTTGAAAAGTTTGTTGTTATTCTGGTTTCATCTCTAATTATTGCTAGTGCCAGTCTTTTGTATGAATTGGTGTATGTAAATTTAGTTATTTTTTTGGGCTACTATAATAGCATAAGTTGTCAGCAAATTTTGTGAATTACATTTCAGGTCATGTTTAATGCATTTTTCAACTTTAAAACACTTTATATTGAATTGAATTATTATTAGCTTAAAAAAAGAACAATAGACTTGATTTACACATAACGATTTGGTATAGTCTTTCCAAAATCAATTAAAGAACCAAGAGGTTGATAGTATGTATCAGGTTTGGTTGCTGACGCAGCAACTCGCCATTGGAATATTTGAAAAACTTGTTCCTATATTTATTTAGCCATACCCATATACAGGTCTGGTTGAACTAAACGTGGAAGTGATAGAAATGTATATACTCAGTTGAAGAATGCGAGCGCGGGCAAACGAAATACAAACACAGCTGCATTGGGTCACTGGGCAATAAGCTGTTGACAAGTGGTTGACAAATTGCCCAGCAGTGCAGTGCAGCAATGCGGAATTTGTGTGATCCAGGTATAACTAATTTTAATTTATTATAGGCACCTTCTATTAATTATTGATATTACAATTGTGAAAGGGAAAAATAATATTACAACATGGCATTTTGGAGACCTTTTGAAACGGAACAAAACGAAATTTACCATCAATATAATAAAATTGTTTGAGGACATAAATAATTAAAATATGTTGTTGGCCAAATGAACATATAATAGAAATTTTTTACACATTATATACAAATTATTTTTTTTTAGCAGAAAACTTTTTAGGGACGGCTATGAAAGTCATTAAATTTTATTGCCAGGCGTTTTTTTACATGTTTAACTGACTTCAGAAAGACTATAGTAACAAAAACTGTAGATGTTGATCAGAAGCTTTACCTACTATTCAAAAAAATCTAAACATTAGAAGTATCATTATTTTACTCAAAAACTAAGATTGATATTGAAATCTTAGAGGACAAAAAAAATTCTAAATTGATTAAAAAATAATATTTTACTTCAATTTCTTTGAAATTTAAAATAATATAAAAAAACAAATGTATGGACGAAAGTATTGTCTACATCAACTCATTGCAACAAATAAAAAAACAAGAAATACATTAATATAATGGCATTTCATAGTACTATGTTGTTAAATTTTTCTAACTAACCGTTTTTGAGAAAAGTTGAAAAACCTACGTATGTATTGCATTCCTATATTTAATTTTTTTTTCAACCATTTCTGGATATCCTATATATTTAATTTGTCAGGTTGATGAAGAATTTAAATATAAATTAAAAATAAATTTTAAATTAAAATTTAAAAAATAATAAAATCTAAAAATTGATATATCCTCGTTGATCGTGAAAAAACTATAAAATATAATTTTTGACAGGAGGGAGAAAAAACAACATTTTCCCATTGTTTTTGGTGCTCCTGGTGAATAAAAATTGTGTTCATACAACTATTCGTTAACCTGAAACTATAAAAAAGTGACATTTTATTACATAGGAGATTTTAATCGTCCCAAATTAGCACATATGAGTAATCTTTAAAAATTGTATAAACACGTAGGACCATTTTTTTGAGTAATATTTGATTAAATACTTTAGTAATATTTGGATATTACAGCAATTATTTATATCACATGTATGCAATGCCTATGTAGTCTCACCCCTCTCTCCTCAGTTTATTTCTATTATTAGAGTAGTATGTACTTGAATAAATAATTATGCATTTCAGTGTAAAAGTTTTCATCAGCGGTTTCCCTTTTGGTTATAAGTATCGATGTTTTATGGAAGTCTTGTATCAGTAAAGAAATAAATATTTTAATTTTATGGCTTTAAACCAAAACAGGAAGCCACCGTGATAATAATTTTATAGAATTATGGTTATTTTCCACACTGATACTTCCCTACACTCTGTTGACATATTTAAACATTTTATTTTATGTTAGATACACGTTGAAGCGCCATAAACATGTAGGTGCAATTTAACTTTTTTAGATAAAATTGTTTATACCAGTATTTAATGTTACTGCTCTTAATATTCTCANATAAAATCTAAAAATTGATATATCGTCGTTGATCGTGAAAAACCTCCTATGTATAAATTATAATTTTTTACAGGAGGGAGAAAAAACAACATTTTCCTATTGTTTTTGGTGCTCCTGGTGCATAAAAATTGTGTTAAAAAAAGTGACATTTTATTACATAGGAGATTTTAATTGTCCCAAATTAGCACATAGGAGTAAAAATTGTATAAACACGTAGGAGCATTTTTTTGAGTAATATTTGATCAAATACTTTAGTAATATTTGGGTATTAAAGCAATTATTTACATCACATGTATGCAATGCGTATGTAGTCTCACCCCTCTCTCCCCAGTTTATTTCTATTATTAGAGTAATATGTACTTGAATAAATAATTATGCATTTCAGTGTAAAAATTGGTTTCCCTTTTGGTTATAAGTATCGATGTTTTATAGAAGTCTTGTATCAGTAAAGAAATAAATATTTTAATTTTATGGCTTTAAACCAAAACAGGAAGCCACCGTGATAATAATTTTATAGAATTATGGTTATTTTCCACACTGATACTTCCCTACACTCTGTTGACATATTTAAACATTTTATTTTGTTAGATACACGTTGAAGCGCTATAAACATGTAGGTGCAATTTAACTTTTTTAGATAAAATCGTTTTTACCAGTATTTAATGTTACTGCTCTTAATATTCTCAATTACAATACAGTAGGTACTTTCACTAATTTTAAAAATAATAAAACAATTTTATTGATGTAATTATTTGCCATGAAAAATGTGATAAAATCAGAAGAGGTCTTGAATGTTGTTCATACAGGGTGTTCAGCATGGGAACTGCCATCCTTGTACTGTAGTTTCCTTGTGTTAATCTAATTTGGATCAAGTAATTTTGATACAAAAGTTACAGACCTTCAATACATTTTTTTATTAAATATTTTTATTCCATAATTATACTTATTAAGTTAATTCAAACGAATTCAAAACATTTTTTTTAAATTTTAATAGCTAATAAAAGAATGTTTCAAAATTTTTTGTACAAAGTTCCATCAATTTTTAACGATATTTCTGACATACACTTTTAAAGTAAATAAAGTTTTAAAAAACCTGTGGGCACTTACATTTTCTCAAAAAAAAAGACAGACATTTTAGACAAAAGATAAACATATATATATTTTTATAAATATTCAGCTTCCAAAAAAATTGTCCTAGCCCAATAATATTTAAATGTCAAAATGCAACAGGACTTACAAAAAAAATAAATTTTTCGCCGATCGACAGGCGTAGTTTTAGTGACAGCTGTCAGGTTTTAAAGTGTCACATTTATTGCGTAGACATTAGAATCATTTTTACTGCCGCTAAATTTTAGCTGTCACTTCGCTAAGGAGCTCTTAGTATATCCTAGCAAAGACACAGCCAAAAAATACTTGGCCATGTCTAGGTCAAATCTTCGCTTGGCGACAGGTATTCAAACTGGACACTGTTGGTTAAGGAAACACCTTTACAATATGGGGAAGTGTGAAACACCTCTTTGTAGGGGCGAGACAGTATTGCATGTACTATGTGAATGCACTGCCGTCTCGTCAACAAGAGAGTCCATGCTGGGAGAACGCTGGCCTTCAATGGCCTATATTAGCTGGCTGGCGGCTCAGGTGGATTGATCTCTCTAATGGGAGAAAGTACAAGGGGCCCAATGGGGCCTAAGTGCTGTAGCTTTGCTACCCTCCCCACAACTCCAGAACAGAACTGCCGCTAAATTAAAAATTAAAATTTGTTCTTTGACGAAAGTTATTTTATTTATTGTAAACATTTATAGTGAAATTAGATCAGGCTTTAGGAGATATCCCTTGTCCTGTTTGTTTTGAAACATTTACTATATCTATGTAGGTTGAAGTGTTTTCACTAGTAGATGGTTTATGAATTATTGAATCCTCCAAAGTGGTTGAATTATTTAAAAAATTGCTTCCAGCACTTGATGTACTTGCAGCAGGGAAAATTTTTTGCAAACAAATTTACGATTTATGGACACCTCAATGTAGCCTTCAGCTACCGTTGAAGATTTCCATTCACCATGCGTTTTTAAAGTTGTGATATCAACTCTTGAATTTATTAATAGTGTAGCCGAAGTTCTCCGGAAACAATGTCTGGTATATTCGTGAGCATCTTTCAATTTGAGAAACGCAACAACTAGTTTTGGCATTTTCCTAAATGTATGAATTCCTATTAAAAAAAAATTATTAATTAAAAAAAAACTGTTACTATCTGTTTGTGTAGGTCTTGCTGTATTATATTTCCGATATATGCGTAAATATTCGCTTACAATAAAGGATCTTTTCTTTGTTCGCGACATCGACACGCCCCAGATATGACAAAAATTATTGCCACCTTTCTTCGTTTATAAAAATATTTTGTTTATAATTACCTTTGTACTTAAATAGGGTCAGGGTCCTCTATTAGAAATTTTTTAATTTGTTCTGATTTACGTGATTTTT